CCTGATCTAACAGGTTTCCCCTTGAGGCAAACCTTATATCCCAAAACTCAAAATTGGTTTCGCTTTCCCCTACATTTACCCCTTATCAGACGAAGACTTTCAGAGCGATGTAAACACTGAGCTTGCTGTCAATCCTGGCTAATCTCCAGCCGCCTATTCTTCAGCTCCATATCTGGCTGCTCCCTATCTGGGAACTCTGTGGTAACAATTCAGGAAGTACACTATCATCCCCACACCCTTCACAGACATTCTCATGGGAAACTACACTTTGCACAGGGATCTCCTGGTCCTTCTCTGCATCAGTATCATCGACCAAACCATTGTCGTCTTGAAATTCATTGGCATCACTTCCCACATCCAAAGCACCCTGATCCTGAAACACAATCACAGGCTGAACTCCAGCACTGAGAGTTTAATGGAGTCTGAGCTCTGAGCAGTCTCAGGTCTGATGTGCTCTGCACCCCATCTCACAACCTCAAGAAACATAGTGAAACATACCAAAACATACATATAAAATACAGTATACAAACAGACTTATATACAAACAAATTACTAGTGGAGCCTATTTTCAACATTTTGTGAGTGTGCACTGCCATATAATCCAGTTCAAGGCAGATAATCTGGATTTTATATGGCAGTGTAGATGAGGTCTATGTATTACAGGCAACCAAATGCTCTCTTGTTTCTATATTTCCCGAAAAGTAGCATTTCCAAGTTCTAGATCCATGTAGGGCTATGGGTTTATTGATATTTGACCCCACTTGAACTGCCCTGGCTCAATGTTAGGAAACTTGGGAGCTGTAGTTTTACACCCACCAGTTCAAAGTTTGCTTCCCTTTCCTTAATGGTGGATGAATGAGCTCCAATCAATGAAAGAGGGAAGGAAAGCCAATGCAGTGCCCAGGGGAAGTCATGCCCATCCCATGGATTAGTTTCCTCCTTTTATAGGAATACTCCCATCCACCCGAAAAATAACATCCCAATCATTTCCTCCCTCTTTCCCCTCCAAAAGGGTATCGGAAGTCACTGCTCTTATGATTTAATACCAAATTGCTGGAGAATGCAAACAAAAAACTTTCATTCCACGGAATCATAGAATTGGAAGGAACCCCCAAAGATCATCAAGTCCAGCATGTCTCTACCTAGGGGTCGGGATCCCTGGGGGTTCATGAGGAGGGTGTCAGAGGGGTCGCCAAAGACCATCAGAAAACACAGTATTTTCTGTTGGTAATGGGGGTTCTGTGTGGGAAGTTTGCCCCAATTCTATTGGTGGGATTCAGAATGCTCTTTGATTGTAGCTGAACTATAAATTCCAGTAACTGCAACTTCCAAATGTCAAGGCCTATTTTCCCCAAACTCCACCAGTGTTCACTTTTGGGCATATTGAGTATTGGTTCCAAGTTTGGTCCAGATCCATCATTGTTTGAGTCCACAGTGCTCTCTGGATGTAGGTGAACTACAACTCCAAAACTCAAGGTCAATGCCCACCAGACCCAATATTTTCTGTTGGTCGTGGGAGTTCTGTGTGCCAAGATTGGTTCAATTCTATCGTAGGTGGAGATCAGAATGCTCTTCGTAGATGAACTATAAATCCCAGCAACTACAACTCCCAAATGACAAAATCAATCCCCCCCCCCCAACCCTATCAGTATTCAAATTTGGGCGTATCGGGTATTTGTGCCAAATATGGCCCAGTGAATGAGAATACACCAACACTGTGAGTGCAATTTGAAACCACTTTAGCTGCCATGCAATCCTGGGAGTTGCAGTTTTCCAAGGTCTTAAGCCTTTTCTGCTGGTTGACAACCACTGATCTAGTCCAACCTCTGGCCATATAGAAATGTCCCACTAAAGCACTCTTGAATTTATTGTTGTAGGCTTTCATGGCCGGAATCATTGGGTTGTTGTTGGTCCAACAGACCTCACTACTTCTGAGGATGCTTGCCATAGATGCAGGCGAAACATCAGGAGAAAATGTCTTTAGAACATGGCCATATAGCCCGAAAAAACCTACAACAACCCACTCTTGAATTGATGGTTGCATTTACACTGTTGGATTCGTGGAATTTGAGACGACTTTTACTACCATGACTTCATACTATGGAATTCTAGAAGTTGTACTTTTGCAAAGTCCTTGGCCTTCTCTACCCAAGAGTGTTGGTTCCTCACCAAACTACAACTCCCAAGAACCCATAGCATTGATCCAAGGCGGCCAAAGTTTAGTCAAACTGCATTGATTCTACAGTGTGGAGACACCCCAGGATAGATGGCTTTTATTGCCCGCAGGAGCCCTGGCTGACATCCTGCAACCCTTTTTTTTTGCACAGCCTTGGCCCGTGTTGCAAATATTTATTTTGGCTCGCCCTCCGCAGAGGTCTCCCCCTCATCCAGCGCCAGAACAATGAGGTCTTTTCCTTTCCGCATTCCTCTGCCTCCGACGTCTTCCTAGCCAAAAAGAACTTGCCTCGGAGCATTACGACGGATTCTTTCCAAATTAGGTTCCTCTGAATCCCTTTGGTGACAATCCTTTTGAAACCCGAAGGGGTCAAAAAGCAATACAAAAGTTTGAAAACCACCTAATAATGTTTTCATAATGAGGCAGGACATGTGGCTCTCTAGCTAAACTCTATAGGTTTGATGGAGACTCCAAGAAGGATGGATCCATTTCTTAGGACTCATTCCAACAAGACAATTTGCACCAACAGATGTTTACGTTGCGTTTATGGGACCCAGTTCAGCTCTCTGTACTTATTCTGGTTTCAACCAAGCTTAAATGGACCTTAAATGATCAACCGATCAGGCCATACAAGTAGAACCAAACAAACAATATCAATAACAAGAGCATACAAAAACAAATACCACTAAATACAGGTAAATATTCCCTTAAGTTTACGATGTTGTTTTCTGTTGACAAGCAAGCACTGCAGCACAAAAGCTGGCCACTTTTGGCCACATCACTGGATTCTGATCTGCCTTCAAACAGTGTATATAAAGGGTTGCTTTAAGTGTTTTGGGCTGTACGGCCATGTTCCAGAAGCATTCTTTCCTGACGTTTTGCCTGCATCTATGGCAGGCATCTTCAGAGGTTGTGAGGTCTGTTGGAAACTAGGCAAATGGATTTATATATCTGTGGAATAATGTCCAAGGTGGGATAAATGTTAGAAGAGAATGCCACTGGAACATGGCTATACAGCACAGAAAACTCACAGCAACCTAATATTTCTATAGGGCCTCTCGACCCGAAAAAACTTCAAAAAAAAGATAGAGATCAGAGTTCAAACCCTCATTCAGCCTGGAAACTTGTAAGATGTGCTTTGGCAAGTCACACTCCCTCAGCCTTGGAAGAAGACAATGCTGAATCTATTCTAAACAAATATTGCCAAGAAAACCCCGTAGCAACGTCTCTAGGTCCTGCATAAATCTACACTGGGTGACCTAGAGATTTCTAGAGAGAACATATTAACCAAATAGGTGATTAATCAAATCCCCAAAAGTCAAGTCCTCAAGTGTGGTGGGCCAACTTGAAATACATTCTTGGGGAAAGTTTGGGCATATAAATGATGATAATCAGAGAATCATATATTTTTGGAGTTGGAAGGGACGAACAAGGCTATCTAGTCCAACCCCTTTCCATGTGGCAGTGGTTTCCAACATTTTTTTAACCAGAGACCACTTTGACCAGAGACCACTTGATGAGGGACTACTTTGAGCAGGGACCACTTGTCCAGAGATCACCTGACCAGGAACCACTTGACCAAGGACCACTTTGACCAGGAACCATTTGACCAAGGACCACTTAACCAGGGACCACTTGACCAAGGATCACTCTGACCAGGGACTACTTGACCAGGGACCACTTTGACCAGGAACCACTTTGACCAGAAATCCCTTGACCAGGGACCACTTGACCAAGGACCACTTTGACCAGGGACTACTTGACCAGGGACCACTTGGACCAGGAACCACTTTGACCATAAATCCCTTGACCAGAGACCACTTGACCTAGGACCACTTAACCAGGGACCACTTAACCAAGGATCACTTTGACCAGGGACTACTTGACCAGGGACCACTTTGACCAGGAACCACTTTGACCAGGGACCACTTTGACCAGGAACCACTTTGACCAGGAAACACTTGACCAGGGACCACCTTGACCAGAGATCCCTTGACCAGGGACCACTTGACCAAGGACCACTCTGACCAGGGACCACTCTCCAACATTAGTACCAAAAGAGTTACAAATCAATTTTTGGTCAACTTTAGATTCAGTTTAGTTATTCGGTGTGCTGATTCAGAAAATTACATTGGATAGACCACATCGGCTCTAGTTTCTGATACAGAGCATAGGCCATCCAGTAGTCACCATCTGTTCACTTACAGAAAACCATATTTAATAATTTAGAACTGATGTGGTAGTAGTAATCTTTTGTGGGTAGTCAGCCTCTCCCCTCCCGACATCCGCATTGCCTTGACACGATAAGAGGGTTTGGCGAGACCAGTTGCTCTCCTTGTTGTGTGGTTTCGGGCAACGGTGTAGCAATGGTGAAGCCACGGACCATATTTTTGTTCTTGTGGACCACTGGTGGTCCACAGACCACAGGTTGGGCACCACTGCCATACAGGAATACATAACTAAAGCAACAAAATACAACCTCTGTTTATGGGCAGCCAAAAATTTGGGAACTAAGGTCCAAATATGCTATGTTTTGGGCTACACATGATGCCAGCAGTTTTGCACCTTTTCCCCAGAATCAATCCGAGAAAGGAAAGTCAGACTAAAATCTGAACATCCAATTTCTGTTCCCAATATCTGCACCCAAAAGCATTTTCCTTTTATATCCATGTCCTACCTATACCAAAGTACTTAAAGCTCAACCTATTGCTACTGAAGAAGTGTTACAATTGCAACCTCAGTTTCTGTGTTGGGGAAAAAAAACACAAGCAAAAGTTTGTTGCCGACGGACAACTCTATGAAACATATTTGTGCCACCACTTACAATTGAGTTGGCCAACCCGTCATCATCTTCCATGGAAACCATCTCACAAAGGAGCCTTTCAACAGCCATGTGGCCTTGGACATGGAGAATAGTAGGCACCAAAATATCTTTAGAATGTAGTAATGCTCCACGGCAGAGACAAGAAAAAATGCACATTTTCAAACCATGGGCAGGTATCCATGTGGCTCAAATGAGCGGAGCATATCCATCCTAACGGTATATGGGACATGCAACACATCTTTCCAATCCTGCTCTGGTCTTCTGTGTATTTTCAGCTGGGTTCCATCCGAGGACACGTGGAATAATTAAGTTCCAAAAGCAGATCCTCCTGAATGGATGGTGGTAATTGTTTGTGATCCGTTGATTCCGAACTTGAAGTTTCCCCAAGTTTTGGACTTCAGTTCCTTCTCACCATTTCCAATGAAAGTTGGAGTACTAAATAGCTGGAGGGTCAAAGTTTGGGATCTACTACAAGTCCATCAATCCACATCTGGAAACACAGCAGACAAGCATATCCTCCTTATCAAGCATCTTCATGGCTTTCCAACTCCAGAGAGAGGCAAAGTTGGACAGTGATCTTGTAGAGCGCTCCAGTTTGACTCACAATTTGAGCCTGCATGCCTCTTTTGTCCACTACGTCCCATAGAAAATATTTTATGCTTCTGTTTCATGCCTCGACTGTGGAGAGAACAACCAATCGGGGTCAAGAGCGCACTTTATCTGCAGTCCACAATGGGCTCGTTGAAGGCTTAATCTTTGAAGGCCATGTGTTTCGGAGAAATGCTACATCAGAGACAAGGGGCGAGCAAAGAAAGTGGTCCTTCTTCTCTCCACGGCAGGGATGTGCCGACGATCACGGAGAAACTGAATCGCTCTGGCATAAGATGCTCATTGTATTTCCAGCCACAAAGGCTTAACCCCAAGGTTGCTGTTTGAATGTTTCGGAGCGTAAGTTTGGGGCATCTCAGAATTGGGGAGACAACTAGGTTGCCGGCTCAGGATTATTCCAAGCGGAGAGAGGTTTCTAAAGCAAAACCTGAGAACTAGTTACAAAAACCCCTTGTATTTATTTATTTAGTCCGCATTCTCCTTCCTTCCCAGATGCAAATGCACCAGGACTCACCTTCCACTCTGCTCTGCATCCAAATTTTGGATAGGGGCATCTACACCAGCGTTTCTCAACCTGGGGGTCGGGACCCCTGAGGGGGTCACAAGGGGATGTCAGAAGGGTCACCAAAGACTATCAGAAAACAGTATTTCCTGTTGGTCATGGGGGTTCTGTGTGGGAAGTTTGGCTTAATTCTACCGTTAGTGGGGTTCAGGAACATGAAAGGCACTGCAGACTACTTCAACTAGAGAAGTCAGCCATAGCAGAGCAAGCCTCCATGAGGGATGCCCATAAAGGAGTTTTAGTGTATATTTTGTTTTTATACTTTTCCCAAGTTATTGTCGAAGGCTTTCAATGGCTGGAATCACTGGGTTGTTGTAGGTTTTTTCTTGGGCTATATGACCATGTTCTAGAGGCATTCTCTCCTGACGCTTCACCTGCATCTATGGCAAGCATCCTCAGAGGTAGTGAGGTCTGTTGGAACTAGGAAAATGGGTTTCCAGGGCTGGAAACAGCAACAAAAAAGCCCACGATATGGTTCAGATATGTGGATGACTCCTTCACCATTTGGAGCCATGGAGAAGAAGAACTCAACAAGTTCCTGGTCCACCTTAACAGCATCCACCCAAACATCCAATTCACCATGGGAAAAGAAAATGAAGGAAGACTGCCTTTTCTAGATGTCCTAGTCATCGGTAAACCAGATCAACAATTGGGTCACACCGTTTACAGAAAACCCACACACACGGATAGATATCTACATAAAAACTCCAACCATCACCCAAGTCAAAAAAGAAGCACCATTAAAGCCTTGGCAGACCATGCAAAAAGAATCTGCGCAGCCCACCTCCTCCAAGATGGACTGAACCACCTCAACTGGGCTCTCCAGGCCAATGGACACTCCACCTCAGACATCAGAAGAGCTGCAAGACAACCGAGAAGAAGCCACGAGAGTCAAGATAAAGATCTACCCAGAGGGAAAGTGTTCTTGCCAGACATCAAGGGAACCACTGACCGCAGAGGGAAGCTGATGAGGAAACACAACCTACAAACTATCTACAGACCCACCAAGATGATCCAACAAATGCTACGTTCAGCAAAGGACAAGAGAGATCCTCTCACCTCTGCAAGAGTCTACCGTGTACCATGCAGCTGTGGACAAGTCTACAGAGGGACCACCAAACGCAGCAGCATTGCCCAACACACGAGTCAAGGAACGTGAAAGGGACTGCAGACTACTTCAACCAGAGAAGTCAGCCATAGTAGAGCACCTGATGAACCAACCTGGACACAGCATATTATTTGAGAACACAGAAATGCTGGACCACTCTCACAACCACCATGTCAGACTACACAGAGAAGCCATTGAAATCGACAAGCATGTGGACAATTTCAACAGAAAGGAGGAAACCATGAAAATGAACAAAATCTGGCTACCAGTATTAAAAAAAACTCTAAAATTACAACAGCAAAACAACAGAGAGGAAACAATCAGGGACATCTAATCACCTCTCAACAAAAGATTGTCCCAGGCACTGCCAGGCCATCAAATGCTAATCAAGGTGGTCAGTTGAAACATTCACACCTAACTCCAACAGACAAGAATTCTTTGTCCCACCCTATTCATTCCATTTTCCTAGTTCCAACAGACCTCACTACCTCTGAGGATGCTTGCCATAGATGCAGGCGAAACGTCAGGAGAGAATGCCTCTAGAACATGGCCATATAGCCCGAAAAAACCTACAACAACCCATCTCTAAGATATTTCATTATATACAGCTATGGAAACACTTCTAATCCCAAGCAGTTTGGGTAAGAGACTCAACTTGTACTATTTGTCAACGGCCAAGGCATTTCTAATGTCAAAGCAAAGGAAACCAAAGTCTGTACCATTTGAAATGGACATGGGTTAACTATGTCTTCCTGCAGGGAGCAAAGGAAATAACTTATCAAAACAACATGCGATCCCATTGTCCGAAACAGGGAGGCTCTGGCAATTAAAAAAAAAAGTCCACCAGGCTTTTTCTTTTGGACAGCAATCAGGTTTGAAAGCTGGTTTGATTTAGGATATGGATTAGGGACACCCTGAGCGCATATTCTATACCAGGCATGGGCAAACTTGGGCCCTCTGGGTGTTTTGGACTTCAACTCCCACCATTCCTAACAGCCGGTAGGCTGTTAGGAATGGTGGGAGTTGAAGTCCAAAACACCCAGAGGGCCCAAGTTTGCCCATGTCTATTCTATACTGTACAATGAATACAGTTTGACACCACTTTAAACTACTATGTCTCAAGGCAATGGACTCCTGGGAGTTGTAGTTTCACAAGGCCTTAGACATGATACGAACTCTAAAGTGGTGTCCAACTGCATTAATTCTATAGTGTAGTGCAGTGTTTCTCAACCTTCCCAATGCCGCGACCCCTTAATCCAGTTCCTCATTTTGTGGTGACCCCCAACCATAAAATTATTTTTGTTGCTACTTCATAACTGTCATTTTGCTACTGTTATGAATCGTCACATAAATATCACATATGCAGGATGTATTTTATTCACTAGACCAAATTTGGCACAAATACCCAAAACACGGAAATTTGAATACTGGTGGGGCGGGGGCTTGATTTTGTCATTTGGGAGTTGTAGTTGCTGGGATGTATAGATCACCTACAATCAAAGACCATTCTGAACCCCACCAACGATGGAATTGAACCAAACATGGCACACAGAAAATTCTGGAAGGGTTTGGTGGGCAGTGTCCTTTGGTTTTGGAGTTGTAGTTCACCTACATCCAGAGATCACTGTGGACTCAAACAATGATGGATCTGGACCAAACTCTACATGAATACTCAATATGCCCAATTGTGAACACTGGTGAAGTTTGGGGAAAATAAAATCTTGACATTTGGGAGTTGTAGTTGCTGGGATTTATAGTTCACCTATAATCACAGCGCATTCTGAACCCCACCAACGATAGAATTGGGCCAAACTTCCCACAGAGAACCCCCATGACCAACTGAAAATACTGTGTTTTCCTAGTGGTCTTTGGCGACCCCTCTGATGCCCCCTCGCGACCCATCCAGGGGTCCCGACCACCAGGTTGAGAAACACTGGTGTAGTGGCACCCAAAGTATTTTATCTTCTCTGCCCAAGAGGGCTAGTGACTCACCAAACTACAACTCCCAGGAGTCCATTGCACTGAGAAGTTAAAGTGGTGTTAAACTGTATTAATACTACAATGTAGATGCACACCTAGAGACCGATATCTTCTCATAAGAGCTTGGGAAAGTTATTTTTTGGGGGTGCTACTACCAGAATTCCCAGGCTGGCTATGCAGAAAGCTGGTAGCTGTACTAAGTTTTCCAAACTCTGAATCTAGGAAACCTAAATGATGATCCAACAAATCATAAAGACAAAAGGCAGGGAATTCTATTTTATTTTTATTTTTTGCATTGCTTTCCAATGCCATAAAGTTCCACCCATCTCATTAAACACCCCTTCTGCTCAGCTGCTGTCATCGCCCTTGTTATGAGCCAATTCAGCCCTTTGCAACTTTGATTTATTTCCAACCTCCCTACATGTCAATTGCCAAACATCTTCTCCATCTGCTCCTTGCGCAGCTTTGCTATTGAAGAAAAGAGGAAAGCGCTCCATCTAGTGGTACTTTGAAAAGCATATTTACGTAAGGACGGCACCGTTTGGCCCTGGTTTTGCTCTTCCTCCAAATTCTCCACTTCAAGAACCACACAAACCAGTAATCAGAACTATATATATTATATATCACTTATGGGTAAACCCAGGCCCGGGGCCAGATGCAGCCCCTTGGGCTCTTTTCTCAGGCCCTCCTCTCTCACACCATCCTATCCTTCCTTCTTTTCCCTCTTCCAAATTCAGACTGACAGAGTTTTGGAGTACAAGACTCCTGACCTCACGATCATGGGGAAAAATTCCTTCCTTCCTCCTTCCCTCCTTCGGCAAATAATGTGTGCAGATCCCTGTAAGGTGGCCTTTTGTAGCTGGCAGATGGTTATTATTATTATTATTATAAATACAACAAGATGAGTCCACAGCAAACAAGGTCACTCTGCTGGCTGTTGTATCGGATCACACGTTGGACACTTTCCAAGTGTCTAGGACTATGTGATGTATTGGCGAACAATGTGTGCAGATCCGAGTAGGATGACCTTTTGCAGCTGACAGATGGTAATTTTGTCAACGTTGATTGTGTTTAAGTGCAGGCCAAGGTCTTGAGGCACTGCACCCAGTGTGCCAATCACCACTGGGACCACCTTGACTGGCTTGTGCCAGAGTCTTTGCAGTTCGATCTTTAAATCCTCATATCGTGTAAGTTTTTCCAGTTGCTTCTTGTCAATCCAGTTGTCTCCTGGGATTGCAACGTCGACGATCCATACTTGATTTTTTCCCCATGATCGTGAGGTCAGGAGTCTTGTACTCCAAAACTCTGTCAGTCTGAATTTGGAAGTCCCAGAGTAGTTTGACGTGTTCCTTTTCCGTACCTTTTTCAGGCTTGTGATCCCACCAGTTCTTTGTCACAGGCAGATGGTATTTGTGGCACAAGTTCCAATGGATCATCATCATCATCATCATCATCATCATCATCATCATCATCAGAGAATTGTGATACTTTGCCAAACTACAAATCTCAAG